TAGCTGTCTGCTTCTTAGGGCAGAGACAGCACTTATGCTAATATAATATCAGAATATCACTTCACGGTCAATATCTGTCAATGACAGAGCAAGTTTAGACCTGAACTTAAAGAAAATATTTTGTGTGGTTTGTCTTCAGACAATACAACAAGATTTATCTGATGAGTTGTGGCCAATCTTAGTGGAGCTTCGAGAGGAGGAAGGAAAAGATAAAAAAAAGGGCGAAAAAATCAACAAGTTTTTACTAAATGGGTTATTGGTCTTGTCAAAGACGAAGACGATTTGATCCACAATTCTTTTCCTTTCAACCTTTGTTGCGAATGTCATTAATATTTGGTAAACCGCGTTTTAACTTATACTTTAAATTCTTTTATGGTTATTTACGGCTTGTTAGGGATTTTCATACGATTCCTGGTTGTGACATATGGTTTCCTTTAACAATCGGTTTGTGCTTAGTTTTCCTATTGCATAAAGAGATATTGATGCACGCAGAGAGTTTGGAGAGCTCTCAAGAACTTTTAAAGTTGCTCTCAGCTAGGCTACGTTTCTCAAGCAACTTTTATAACTTTGCTTTTCTAGTGCTTTCGACACATCCTGCGTGCATCCATATTTCAATATACGCTCAGCTGGAATCACGAACTAATGATTTTATAATCGTCGTTATGTAGCTAAATTCGTGCGGACATGCTGCTCTTGCACGGTCGCCTTTTAGTCGGTAAGAGACCTATCGTGTATGTCGGAAATGAGCTGAAGTTACTGGGCTGGAACGAGTCTCTACAAGAGCACAATTGGCATGTGCAAATAAACCCCCTAGCTGACCAATTTTGTAATTTCTCTGGCGGGCAAACTTCGAGCAAACAGAAGTGCAATTCAAATCGGCTCAGTTAGTAAGGCCGGCTCGGCTCTGAAAAAGGGAGGCTTAGTAGTGAAACCCGCATCCCCTGGAAGTCGGTTGGTTACTGTAACAATAATGTGCAGCAATTTTCAAAGGAGAAATAATAGAAAGCTCCCTGAAATCCCTTTAAATTTTGGAGAGGATCTAGTAAGATATGACTTACGCCTTCTTTTACCTGCTTTTTTGTTGTGCCAGTATTTGATTACTTCTCCTTAGGTTAGATCCAGAGGAAAGTCTAACGCCGAAGGTGGCTATTGCTATCAAATAAGCCAGCCTGTTCCGTGAGTTTACGAGCGAGCACTGTTCGTGGCGTTCGATAGTGGTAATTCGAACACTGATATTTGCCTTCGGCAAAACCCCATAAGTATGGAACTATAATGAATATTCTATTCACCGAACTTAAGGAGGCATGTCAGGATTGGTTTCTCTCAGCAAAGATGAGCAAAATAATTCAAGTTCATCGTTTTTAGTCCGTCTCCTTGTTTCCTTCAGGTTTCAGTTTTCTTTCCAGTCTAGAAATTTTATTAAAATAATATTCTGTGGCTCACCTTTGTTAAGTTGAAGGCAATTACCTTCTTTAAAACAAACGACCCGAGTATCCGGTAAAACAATATTCAAACAAATAAATACATTTCTTGTTTGGAGTTAAGTGTTTTCAATATTTGGTGGAATGAAAACAAAAGTTTCATTTCGCTCGAGTTCCAGAGAGCTCTGAAATTTTGGAGAAGTAATGAAATTTTTGATATCTGATTCACCCTTAGACGCAGAGACTGTGGTTTGTGGTGTGTATTGTTCAACCATGATAATATTTACTAAGAATGGCATTACATGCTTGAATTTATTATTTGTTTAGGCATGTTTGAAAGCCTCCTATATTTAGAAAAAGTTGTAGTTGTCTAGTCCCAGTATCTTTAATCATGCCTTATACTTAATGTTAATTTATGTTAATTGATACTGCTCATAAGAACTATGCCCATATGAACCATAACGGAGCCCTATCGTGTTGTGATTTTATAGCGTTTTGAAAGAAATAACTAAGCGTTTCCTTTTTCAATTGACATAATGGTTCCTCTGGGGAGTATTATAAGCGGCAAGGATTTGTAACAAACAGACAACAAATAATCGAACGAACGACAAGTATACATCTAAGAAGCGAGCTGCTAAGCTAGTGTAACCAGAACACATCAGTGGGTGAATCCTCGCAGCAAAGAAGTACCTCGGGCTCCGAGTCCACGCCAGTGTCTCTCAAAACACACACATGCACACCCATGCAAGGTGTTACAGATATTGTGTAAAATCAATTTTTCCTTGGGGAACAAGGACTTGTGGTAATTTCAGTTTCTAGAAGTAGCATCCTTCAGGTGCGGCTTCTCGGAATCTGGGAGAATGACGAGAATGCCAGGTTCACACTACGGCATTGCAACTGGAATTATTACCCTTATCAAGATATCACAGGTACCCTTAGCTTTCCCCTGCGCAAATAATAGGAGAAAGCACCTGAACTAATGCAATTGTTACACCTCTTGTTGAAATTGTTCTAGAAATTCTTGTAACAATCTGAATTGTTACAGTCTTGAGTACCTATTCTTTAGTGCTCACTTAAATTTCCCAACCGTTATCGACAACATCATCCCAACGCCTTGGCTTTGATGCCATCACGGTGAAATAACCTTAATTTCATGAAGCCTTTGCCATGTCAAACGAAAATGAGCCAAAACCTTAGTAATTCCTTATTAACGCGCCTATGTTCCTATTCGGCCAAAAGGAGGGGAGCGTTCCTGGGACACAAAATGGAAAGAAAAAATACTATAGAATAATCTGCTTGAAAAATAATGGACATCAAGGTCTTAAAAGCGACAAAATAAGCTTTGGAATCGACAATACTACAATTCTCTAAAATAATGCGAATTAGGGCCGCAAAGTGAAAACCAAACTATCGGACTTCAAGCGAGGCCTAGCGACATTATGAAGACTCCAAGGCACGGTAATTATCATGTTTGAGTAATCAGATGTCCAAAAAATTTGTTTAATAGAAGATTTTGTGTTAAAACGTAGAACTTTCAGTATTTTCAACATAACGCTGCGCAATATTCTTGCCGTGAAGTCAAGTAAACATCGATTTAAGCATGATGAATTCTACTTCGTGGGTTTCGCACACGTAAGAAATTCGTACGTTTTTCGGTTCTAATAGAAAATCAAGAACTGTTTTGAATAAAGCTTTCTTCCCGAAACGTTCCTTGGTCAGTTTCGTCTTTCTTCTTACTTTTAAATCCCATATTATAAGAGATCTCTCCACACTCTGATAAATTTGCATATTCACTTTGAAATCCGATCTGCACACTTGTTTGCACACTTGTTTGCACACTTGTTTGCACACTTGTTTGCACACTTGTTTGCACACTTGTTTGCACACTTGTTTGCACACTTGTTTGCACACTTGTTTGCACACGTGCGCAAAAATTTATTGATTTTTATCTTTTATCTTGATTTTGGTGTAATAACTTAATATGCATCTATCGCTTTTTTCGTTGAAAGTAAGTTATTTGAATGGTCTTCTTTCACTTGAGCTTGTTTTTGGGAAAAGATGATTGATAAAACTTTACTGCGCATTGTGTTTACTTTTCCGGTTTCTCCAAAATTTTAACTTTTGGATAGGCACGTGTTACACGCAGGTGTCAATGTAAGCTTAACTAGACCCTGTGAGCAGGGTAACTGAGATACCTGGATGGTACTTGATCCTTGGAATCAAGTGTAGTGATACTATGGGTGTCGGACTAGTATACTGAAATAGTGAGCTCAAGTCTGGCTAAGGGCATACACCTATTTCAAAACACAGCCATGCTCTGCATGAAAGAGTTATTTTTTGTAGGGTGGGTGGATTACTCGAAACATTGTAAGTGGTCTACATTCTTACAAAAGGAAAGAAGAGTATTAACGCGGAAAAGAACGAAAACGTCGAATTACCTCACACACAGGTATTTTGTGGTAAATGATGTGTGTTGTGCGAATAAATGTCACCAAAAATAAACTGTATTGGTGCCACGGATACCTGTTACTACAAAATGCAGACAGTAGACTGCAGACCGGATACAAAATATAGACTGTAGACTGCAGAGTGGGTACAAAATGCAGACTGAGAATCTGAAGAGTTTTTACGTCTGGTATATAATAACGTGTCATCTTACAGCTACGTTCCCTGGCATCAAGTGAATCCAACATGCCGTCTTTCTTCACTATCAGTTTGCATCCATTAGAGTTTTGTTCTTTAGTCTCACGGTAAGAGTGTTGTTCAACAGATTGCATAGAGTATATGCAGTTTGGTTTCAGATTTCAAATTTTGCTTTTTACAACAAGTGTACGTTTTTCAACTAAGACATTGGCATACTTAGCATACAAGGCATACAAGGCATTCATGGCTTTCATGGCTTTCAAGCGTTGGCGACTCAATCCGTTCGAAAATTACCGCTCAATAACACCTTTTAGCGTGGATTGGCCGCGAACAATACGATTTGTGTATGCGTCTGTAAGTATTTTGATCGTTTGCGCCATGACGCACCGGGTGGTCGTAATCCAAACACGTTGAAATACAAAACGACTGACAAAAAGAGTTTTATACGTAAAAATTCCGTGGTTCGTCATGTGACCCGGTCCTGTCCGTGCATGACAACGTCAATGATCAATCAAGATAACACGCGTGATCAGCATGTGAACACTTCATTGGATCGCAGTTGGTTGTCATGGTGTTGAGAGCCCAATGACCACTGAGTACTATTGCGCAATTTTTTCCATTTTGCGGTGGAGGAAATTAAAAAAAAAGAAGACAAAAAAACAAAGGCATTTTATGACTTAGCTACCACAGGTATCCCAGCAAAAAGTTATAAGGTGGAAATATAAAACGGTTTCCCATGTATCCCTATTAATCAAGAAAGTGAGGAAGAACGAGGGGGGAGTGGTGCTTGTTGGATATTATGGCAAAGGGGAAGAGCGCTTATAGGAGAGAGGGCCTTCATTCCAGGAAATAGGGTATCTGAGGAGTTAAATTTAATAGCTTGTTCTTCCCAGATGGATATAAAAAACAGCCTTAACAATTACAAAAGTTGCACAATCTGAAGAAACTCTTATTTTATTACTATGCGGTGCATGAATATACTTAGTTGAATAAAAAGAAGCAATAAAATGAAACTTAAAAAAATCAACATTGATTTTCATGTCTTTGCATAGTTTCACCAATTCTTGATATTATGCAATGATTGACTGTCTTCCTAAATATATCATAAATACATTAAGTTACAATATCATTATGGAATATTTTAGATAAGAATTATATAAAATTTCAACTTTAACTTTTCGTGTAATTTACTTTGAAAACTAACAATCCTTTCTAAGAAAACTGGGAGTGAAAATTGAACAAGACATCTGAGATCAGTCAAGAGTTTGTAACTATCTTGTTTAAAAATTGTCAGTTACATGCCAGAATTTCATCATATTTGCTTGTTACCTATTGAAATCTTATACATATTAAAATTATCTTTTGCAAGTTCAGTACTTGTTCATGAAAGGGAAAAGTCAAATTCTCCTGTGTCCTGTTGTGATCATAACCACACCCATTTCACACTTAACTACACCTCAACTAAAATCTGCTGTTACCAATTAAAAGAGGATTTGACCTGTACATGTAACTATTTGAGTCTGAGAATCTTAGATTGCTTAGTCTCTTTAAGTCTATATTGCTTTCAGCAAAATTACTTGACACATAAAAGGGTGCAATATGTTTTTCAAAAGGGACACTGCAATGCTTCCATAAGATTGTCTCAAACCTTCAAGTAGCCTAAAAATCACAACACTGAAAATAAGAAGAAAAGCTGGAAACTGAGAACTTAAAAATAATTCTTAGCAACTAGGTCAGATTGTTATAATAACCTTAACTGCTTTGTTATTATTGTTCATGGCTTTTCTCCAGAGGCAAGGCGTCGGTTGATATCTTCAATAACTGGAGGCAGATCACTAATGGAATCAATTACGTAATGAGCACCAGCATTGGCCAGGATATCATAAGAACGTTTCAGCTTCCTTTCAAGGTCATCATCATTCAGGCTGGCGATCTCTTCTTCATTCAAACCAACATAATTTCCCTGGTTAAAGAAAAACAACAGAGTTGTTAGAAGGTCCACCAGAAAAAAGTATATATAGTCCTTCAGAGTCTTAGATTGACATGCTGACTAGTAAAAATTTTGCCCATTAAATTTGCAGCAAGAGTTGGAAATTTAAGGGAACTGTTTCATACACCAATTTGCAACATTTCTATAACTTAGTACAATTACAATAAAACAATATTTATGTTTCATAGTCTTCAGAAAAAGAACCTTTCTTCTTTCACCTTAGTTTCCAGAGGTACAGAGCCTTGGAATTTTATGGGAATCTCCAAATACCACAGTGTAAAGTTGTGGTCAGTTGTTTAGCATGCTACGCAATATTGCACAAGTGTTTTATCCGGCAACCACAATTTAATTTCTGGTAACCATTTTATGATTTCAGGGCTGTGTTGTTCAAAGGGGGGTATGATAACTCAGGATTAGTGTGGGATCTGATTTTAGAGATGAAAGCCTTAAAAGTAAATTAATTTTAACTCTTGTTGTCCACAATTTAATTATTGGTTGCTGTACTTATCCCATTAAGACTTCGGAACAAAAAAAAAAACAACAACAACAACAAAACAACAAAAATTCACTCTGGGTTTGTGCTGATTTGGCTCTTAACAACTGGGCATCTTTTTGCCAGTTACAGTAGTCTGATTGTCTTTGTAGGAGAATACCAAGTAAAGAAACAATGCATATATATTATATTGAACTATACTTCTTGCTAAGTAAGGGAAATTGTGTAAATGAGAGCTAATACCTTAATCAAGAAGCTTATTTATGCTTCTGAGTGAGTGTGTGTAAGTGAGAGAGAGAGAGAGAGAGA